ACTTCGCTATCACGATCTTGGTCTTCTCCCTCCTCACCATCTTCGTCTCGCCTCTCCCCCATCTTCTCATCCGTGGTATCTCCCCCATGTGCGTGTTCAAGGAGGGACCTTTCCTCCATGTATGTGGTCCCTCCTGCAAGGAAAATGAGAGATAGCGAACTTCAGAAACCAAGCAGCATCATACACATGAGACCAGATAGTTGTGACCTCGAACCAAAAGCAGAATTGCAACATGAGCCCCACCAAATAAGAGCACAACAAAAGCTCATAAGTGACAATGTTCTAATAGCCTCATCATCATCAACAAAGAACCAATGTCGACATCCTATCTGGCGCTCTGCCCCCAGACTACAAATGGCAGATCCTATCTAAGCCTATCTATAATGCCGCTGGTGACGTCAACATCTCCCCGAAGTACGAGCAGATCTCGGCCAATGCCGTTCACCTCAAGCACCAGGTATGTCTCTCATATCACTCACAACCTCGATCCCCCACTCACAGATGCCACGTGCACTCAAGGACCACCATGCGGCCCATCCAGCATACAGCAGCGCAGCTCGGCTATGGCTGCCTGCTCATCTAGCTCGCCCGTGAGCGCATGAGCGCTGGCCAGCGTCTAGCGCAGCAGCACTTGTGCAGCATGCAGCCAGTGCCCGAATGAAGAGTGCTGGGGCAGGCACTTTCCTAAATGGAAGTGACCTGCCTTCCGCGTGCGGCCTGCCTGCATTGGGCCTCGGTCCAGAAGCTTCCGGTAGCCCCGTGAGGCTGAGCCCCAGTCCGAACGAATCAGGCCCAGGGCCTGTGGTGGTTACCCATGCCCAACTGCCCGCAGCCTGTCTTCGGCCCATGTTGCGTCTCTGGCCCAGGGCCTGCCTCAGTTACATACGAAAAAGGCAGTCTGGGCCTGGGCGCTCTCAACCAACTGGCGCTGCGCAACTGCCTGAATTTCCCCTGTTGTGTGGTGACCCCAAAAATGGGCCTGTAGGCCTTGGTCGAGCCTGCCTTCACTTAGGGCGGACGACTGTACTGAAAATAGGGCCCAGTAGGGCATATCGAGGCCTGGAGCCTCGCATTCCCTCCTCCATACTTCGACAGTCCTCTGAGAAGTCCCATTACTCAATCTGGCGCTTTCCTTTCTGTAGTGACTTCTCGTAGTGAGCGACAGCCTGTGGAGCGGTCTGCATCAGTTCCTCCCTGGTAAACCATCTGTCCTCCTTAGGATCAGTGTGATGTCTGAGCCGAACACGATACTGCAGCTTCGGCTTAAGAGGACGTTCCCTGCCTGTTGGTCTTGGAACTGGCATTTCCCTGTGGTCCACGATGTCATCGATGTCGACCTCTCCATCCATGGTTGGGGGCAGTATTGAGCGACGAGAGGGAAACTGGTCAGTTTCCTTGGAAGGTGCAAGTTTGGAGGCATGAAAGACAGGGTAAGTACGAAGGTGACCAGGAATCCGAATTACATATGACGGCCCATCCAGATCACCCCCGACAATATCGAGAACCTGCCATGGTCCAAAGTACTGTGGCATGAGCTTGCGGGAGATGCCTTGCTCCTGTCCCGATTCTGAGGACTTGACCCAGACCCTGTCCCCTACCTGAAATGTAGATGGGCGGTGCTGTTTGTTCTTAGACTCTATCATCGCCGCCTGTGCCTTGTGCATCTGTTCTACAGCTTGCTGAATCAGGTGTTCATATCGATAAGCAAATTCTAGAGTGCCTGGTGCAGCAGCAGGCTGATTCTCAGGTAAGAGAAAATCTAATGGCAGTCTAGGTTTAAAAGTCAGTAGCAGGCTGTTGGGGCTCACCCCTGTTGCGCTGTGCACGGTGTTGTTATAGAGAGTGGCGGTGAGGGCAAGTTTCTCATCCCAGTCCACCTGATTAGGCTTGATGTAATGCCTCAGCCGGTGTTGAACAGCGCGATTCAGCTGCTCTGCTTGCCCATTTGCTTCTGGATGGTTCCCGGAAGTCATTTGTAACTGGGTACCCTGTTCTGCAGCTGCAGCCTTCCACAACCTGCTTGTGAATCTGACATACCAGTCAATGATAATAGACTTTGGCAGTCCAAAGTCTCGGACCCAGTTTTCCTTAAATAGTCTGATTACGTACTCGGTTTTCGCTGTTTCTGGCATGGCAACTAACCTAGCATACTTACTAAACCTATCCACAGAAACAAAGATGTGTCTCCTTCCGCTCTTGCTGGTGACCAGCGTATTCATGAAGTCCATGGACAGGCTCTCACCGGGCCTTTCCGGAATCGGAAGGGGCTTAAGAAGCCCAAGAGGGGCCTGGGTACGTGGCTTGTCTCGCTGACAGACTTGACAAGTCTCCATGTACAGCTTCGCATCCTTCATCATTGTGGGCCACCAGAACCGCTGCAACAAATTTGTTGCAGCCTTCCTATATCCAAAATGTCTGGTTCATGACACTCATCTAATAATAAACTACGCAACGACTCCCGATTAGGAACACAAAGACGTTTATTCCCGGCCTTCTCAAGGAACAACAGACCATTGATAAACTCAAACTCTTCAGACGTAGCTTTATCCTTCGCCTTGAGTCTGCGTATGATCTCTGACATGAACGGATCCTCGCGATAGGCTTCCACCAAAGACTGAGTAACATCGTCCGCAAGCCCAAACTCAGTGAGCAGCGCACCCCGGAAGTCTGGTCTACGCGACAGCGCGTCAGCAACCTTGTTTACTCCCCTTTAATGTACTGGGGTTCGAAGTCATACTGCTCTATGACTTCAATCCAATGCTTCAGAGCATCGGAGAGTACCGGTTGAGTTTTCATCCACCTCAGGGTCTGATGATCAGTCCTGACATAGAAGAAGCGACCAAGGAGGTAATGTGTCCAGTGAGTCAACGCTTTGTAAATCGCATAGAGCTCTTTCTCATAGGTGGACTTAGCCAACTTCTGAGAGGGCATCTTTTTGGACACGTACTCAACTGACCTCAACTTTTCCCCCTCTTGCTGCGCAAGTACGACACCAATGCCATATTGGCTGGCATCCGTGGTCACGACAAATGGCTTGTCAGGATCGGGCAGTTTCAAGACCTCATGGTGAGTGAGGGCATGCTTCAGATGTCTGAAAGCAGCCTCACACCTATCAGTCCACTCCCATGGGGTGTCAAGGCGTGTCAGGTCTGTTAATGGGGCGGCCACTATGCTATAGTTCTTGACAAAATTGCGGTAGTAGCCGGTCATCCCTAAGAAGGACCTCATCTCAGTCATAGACTGAGGACGCGGGCAGTCATGAATGTTGGCCACCTTCGCGTCATCGGATTTCAATCCCTCTGCGGAAATCTCATGACCCAAACACAAGATACGGGTGCGGCCAAACTCGCACTTCTCCCCGTTAATCTTGAATTGGTGTTGCCGAAGGAGGCTAAGGACTTTGTCTAAATGGCCAACGTGCTCCTCGACAGTCCTACTGAAAATAAGTATGTCATCGAGTCATGAAAGATCTGATTCATTTGTGTGCTGAAAGGTGCCAGGAACTGTAGATAATACACATTTGGGAAACAGGGGTGGGAGGGAATACAGGACGGATGGATGCTCAATAGGTAAATTGCTGGAGGATAAATGTTGGGGAATGAGGGATCTGTAGAAAGGGAGAAAGGACGGGGGGCAAGGGTGGGGTTTCTTTGGAGTAAACATGGGTTTGGTGGGGAAGGGATAAATGATGGGAGTTCGGTAAGTGAACCGCTAGGGATAAATGCCCGGGGAATAAAGGATTCATAGATAGGGGGAAGGACAGGGTTTTCTTAGGACGGGGAGCCTATACTATAAACAGATACCGCATACATAAAAACTGAAACTCTGGAACTAAGTAAAGACACACAGAAACTAAAGATACTTCTCCTCGGGGGGAGCGAGGAGTGGAGGGGGAAACCTAGCATCGTGTTGTGCTTTGTGATTGGAAACAGCGACTGGGTGCATTGAGGCCTCCCGGCTGGTTCCACACACAAAACACAACATGATGAGTTTGTCCCCCCCCCGCCCTGCGGCATGCAATCAAGGCGCTTGCCTTACCTGAGACCCCCGCCCCCCACCCTCCTTGCCTACCTTGCCTTTTCTTTTTTCCTAAACCTTGTCTATCTTTGCCTGTCGGTGATAAGCAACCGGATTGTTGCCCCCCAGAATAGATGGGGCTTGAGTGTGTTGTGTGCTAAAAAAAATATATAAAAAAAAGGTGCCAGGAGCATTGCAAAGGCCGAAAGGCATCATCACAAACTCGTACAGACCGTACCTGGTCTGAAAAGCGGTTTTGTGTTGATCCTAAGGCCGGACTGCAATCTGATGGTACCCGGACTTCAGATTTATCTTACTGAAGTACCGACACCCTTGCACTTGGTCCAACAATCGATGCGTCGCAGGGGCTCTGCGTTCTTCACAGTGATGGGATTAAGGCCCCTATAGTCAATGCACATCCTCAAGGTCCCCCCGTTCTTCAGTACAAATAAGACTGGCGATCCGTAAGGGGAAACACTAGGCCGGATCCAACCCTTCTCTATGAGTTCCTTGAGTTGTCGACGAAGCTCATCGAGCTCGCCTGGAGACATCCGATAGATCCTACCCTTCGGAATACTAGATACTAGGATAATCTCTATCGCGTGGACGACCTCCCTCTCAACAACTTCTTTCGGCTCTTCAAATAGATCAAGGTACTTAGCAACTACTCCCTCTATCCCCGACGACATTTTCACCGACTCGCCTGCTGCAGAGACATAAACTAAGTACATACCCTCCTTCGGATTTTGCTTATAATAATTGTAAAACACGGCCGCACACATGCATCCGTAGGACTCGATCAGACTACTAGCCTTAAAATTATGTAATCTGGCGTTCCCCCCTTCGGGCAAAGTGTGTTGTACCACTTTTCGGTCCCAGTCAAACTGGGGCCGTGCAATCGAAAGATAGTACATACCTAACAGGATGTCCATTGGGAGATCATCTCTAACTAGGAACCAGACTCGATGTCTCAGTTCCCCTCCCGCGTACGGGAAAAGACACTTAACGTCTTTAAGGTAGTCATTGACTACCATGCGCTGTTTGTTAGCACAGGTCGACTCAGGCGTTGCACTTGCCCCTGTAAGTGCAGCCTCTCAACGCACGCGTGACTGATAAAGTTTCGTGTCGAGCAAGTGTCATAATGGGCCCCGGCCTTGCGGCCGTCGATGACTACCTCGCCGACGAACAACTCACCCTTAGGGGCTTTTACCATAGTCGTCCAAGAAGCTAGCGGGTTTGATCTAGACCACTCCTCCTCTAGCTCCTCTAAGGATTCAAACACATTCATCGAACAGAGGATCGATGGGCCAGAATGTGTTTGCGGGACGGCAACGGAGTCAGTAGCTTGGGCCATCTCTCGAGATGGTGAGGGTGTGTCCACCACCTCGACCCTAGCAGGAACAACTACTATTCCTACTGGCCCGACGTGTTTCCCGGAGCAGTTCCAAAACTACTGGCAACATTGCTACCTATGGGAGTGGAGGATCCCAACACCTGCCCCATTGTAGGCGGGATCTTTCGGGTCACCTTCTTATTTCGACACTTGAACTGATTATGGTCATATTGGCCACAACGGATACAAGTCTGTCGAGTGTACCGATCTCTCCACACGTCCTCAGTGAGACCCGCTTTCTCCCATGGAGGAGCGTTGGGGTCAACTTGACTCCTAGACCCGGAGCCTCCACAGCATCGACCGGTTGCCTTACCTTTTTGCACTGAGGCAGCGACTGCTCCACCCCCTGAAGACTCTACGCTGCCCGCCTCTGTACCTACTCCCTCCTGGAAGTCGTCATCTAACTCGATGGTAGAACCATCGTTGTCGACGAACATTATGCGACCCTTCGCCTTCCAGTTGGGAGGCAGTGTTTTCTTCCTTCCATCCGTAGTGGGTTGGTGCTCTTGCCCTATCTTTGCATCTAGGTTTAGGGCCTTCTTGCTAAACGAAGGAAAGTTGTGCACATTGATGTTTGCTTACCTGCCAACTGATTCCTGAGTGGCATAGGGAGACATCTCAAGTAAGTGGTTAGCAAGACCTGGGGGTCATAGCGCACTCCAGGACACATATCAGACGCTCTACTGCGTTTGTGGCATCCCTTACTGCCTTGAACGGTCTATTGCTCAGAGTCAAGATCGTATCAGTGGCCTTTTGGGCCTCCTGAGGATGATGCCACCTCTCCTCCACCAGCTTCAGGAAGTCTTCCAGTTTTTGGTTGACTGCCCAAGCACAGAAGTCATGTCTGTATCCCTGCAGTTGCACTAGCCCGCTTAACCATCCTGCTGCACTCCCCTCAAGATAGGAGGCAGCCACAAGCACTTCCTCGTGTGGCAAGGTTAACTTGCACTTAACATAGACCGACACTGACCTCAACCATGTGTCGAGGTCTTCGCCCCTCTTGTCCCCTGAAAAGGGTTTAGTTGAGGTGATGGTCGTCTTTGGAACCCACTGGCCTTGTCCCGGTACCTGTCCCATTCCAGGCTGTGGACCCTGGGGCGCAGGCTGCTGCACCAACTGTTGTTGGGGCTGTGTGCCCAGCTGTTGTGCTGGCTGCGAGACAGTAGGCTGCCCAGTTATGGCAACCTGCGACGGAGGTTGGGAATACACTGACTATACAGGAATCTGTACACTAGGACCTGCTGAGAACCCGCCTGTCAGTGGCATTCCTAGGGAAACGGCTGGTACCGATGTTGGTGGATTGAGAAATGGGGATACCCCAGTCACCGGTGGGACAAAAGGAGGAGGTTGTACCACGGGCCAGGCACCAGGCCCTGATGGTGATGGCGCCACCTGAGCTCGCCCGACCAACACGGCCAGGCTCTGCTGGATATCCTGTAAGAGCGTCATTTGGTGATCCTGCATCTCTACTACGTCTAGCAAGACTGTCCTCAGGGTCCTCACATCATCATCTGTCAAGTCCATCTCCTCTAACTCACTAATATCCGCTTATCTCTGCTGCATCCTGGCTCTTCTCCTGGTCATCCTATCTTTTTCTGCATTTATCTATCCTGAGGCCTTCTGTAGTTGTGCCTCCTGAGCATCTGTTTGTTGTATGGCGACCTCTGCGGGAGTCAAAACTAATGGCTGGCTTGCCATAACGCCAGTGGAGTGTCTCAGGGTCTGTGCGACCGTTGACCCTACAGTCCCTGTATTACTAGCCTGAGAGCTCTGCTGCGCAGGAGTTGCCATGGCTGCGGAAGTAGTGGCCTCGCTTGCGAATGCCCTGCTTGCCTCTGCAGCCCTAGCTCTTCGCAGCTGCTGCTGCTGCCTCTCTCTCTGTTGGCGGAACAAGAATTTGTCGCTCTCTGGTCCTAATGTCAAGTGGGCTATTGGGCGCCTCGCTGATCGCAGGATCCGGTCGTCCTCTCTAGTTTCCTCCCTGTCGCTCATAAGCTACAGAACTACCCACAATTTGCACTAGGTCACTCACGATGCCCACCACAGCGTAATGTATAGACCAATTTAAAATAATTAAATAAATAATTGGTGTCTATGTCAGAGACTATACATTCGGGTCCAACAGGTAGTCCAGATTCCTATAGACGAAACTATTTTACTTTGACTAGTTCGCAAACAGAGAAGCAAATGAGCATAAACTGTTTCTACCTATGCTGTCTGTCAGATGTTAATGGCAGTACATCTAACTAATCAAAATAGAAAAATAGAATCATTTGTTGGGTCTGTTTGTAGAATGGAATGTGTCTGAACTTATCACCTGGAATCTACCCCTTCCTCAGTTCTTCCTGAAAGTCACTTGACGTCAGCGTTCCTGAGCAATCCAGATAGCGTGCGTGTCTAAAGGTGTGCACACGGCCCACCCCTTTGCCCCGAGTGTATGCTGAGCTGGCCAGCCCTGCACTATTTTTATCCTCACGTGCAGCGAGCCTTACACCGACCGATTGGCTGATTAGGAGGCATTTTAGGACGGCCCCCGAAGTCCTCAGGAATTATTTAATGTCGCAGACAGGACGACGATCACAACCAATGGGAGGTACCCCGCCGGTGCTTATTTATAGACGCCCGGTACTCGTCTCCCCTGTAGGGCTGGCCTGCC